TCCTTTCCTTTTTCTCTCTGCTGGATCCCCCCCTGACCCCCCCCCCCCCTAAGAACTTCAAAAAAAAAGATCTCCGGGGGGGGGTGGGGGGGGGGGGGGTCAGGGGGGGATCCAGCAGAGAGAAAAAGGAAAGGATGAGGGCAGGATACAGGATCGCAGTAGCATTGTGCCCAAAGGCTGATGGGGGGGGGGGTGTCAGGGATCTGAGACACAGAGGCGGCTTTGTCATACCGCCGAATCCTCCGGCCAAACGCCACCATCGAGCAGCCGATGTGACTGGCTTCTCATTTTACAGACAGGCAGACTGAGAAAGACGGCCAAATTCAACCAAAACACACGTATGCTTATATGTGGGGGATCCCCTTTCATTTCCATGGAAAAACCCCTAACCCCGACAATGGCAACCTTAACCCCTACCCAGCCCTGACCTAGATTATTATAAAATTGAGTTTACCTTCTGGGGACTGAAAAAATGGTCCCTACAAGATCATTTGGTGCCCACAATGTAACATATGCATAAGTGTCTCTCTCTCAGTCACACTCACAATTCCCTAAAGCCATCATCAATGGCTTTTACATTAAAACTTTATCAGAAAGAAAATCTGAAATTTGACCTTAAACTTTCCCCCCTGTAATTACCAGGCTCTGATTCTTCCCAAAAGTTATTTGGGATTTAAGACAAGTGCCCCACACACTTATGTTTCTCGTTGCTCCACAGGTTGGAAACTCTTGCACTGATTGCCTGGTATCATTACACCGAGGAGAAGGACGGGGGGCCTGAATCTGCCCCACGCTGCTCTGGTAAAATAACCACCAGCACATGGCTGTATTTTATACTTTAGATACAGAACAAGTAGAGTAATTAAGGTTTCCTTCATACACGCCACTTTCAAGACCTGAAGACCACCCCCACCATTCAGAGGGAGAAAAAAAAAAACATAGATCCAACTGAAACGCTGCAGAAATTCTGGTTAACCAAGACACGACATTCTGATCTCATTAAAACTAAGTCTTAAAGAAGAGTCAATGAAGACCATCATCACTGTTTAGTGTGATGTCAGAAGAGCATCAGTTAAGTTGCCAATCATTCAGGAAAGCTTTCATACCACGCAGAAAAGGCCTGTTTCAGTGCTTATATTTATTGGTGATCACATCACACTGCCGACAGCAGCCCTTTAGGATAAGAGACTCCACAAAGCTTTAAATTGATTTCTGGCTGAAAGCTCTGGGATGGCGTGGATAAAGCGCAGCCCCGCTAATGGAGGCCGAGGTCTCGTACCCGAGTGCTCCGTCGTCGAGTAGGACAGCAAGAAGCCACGGCCAGACTTGTGGGTCCCACTCATGAACTGAACCGTGACCTCACTGCCGCTGGCCTGGATCAGCTCTGGGATTTGCAAGCCTAGCCCACAATACTTTGCTGTGAAATAAAAAAAAGGGGGGGGGGGGGGGGGTTTGTAAGTCATTTAGCCCAATTTCTCCACAATGAGTTCATGACTATCACTTTGCAGTACATAGAAAAAACCTAAACAAAAACAGGATATGAACAAATCTGAAGGATAACGGGGAACAAGTCAATGGCTGACACTCATAAATCTAGATCCCACAGCTGAATAAAGCCCCACCCTTGGATCACTAAGAACCTAACGTATGGTCCTTCAGGGAGCCCACATAAGCAGCCCCCGCCCTTCATGGGGCACTCACCAATCTCCGCCCTCCTAGGTCCAACCCCATTGTAGATCCTCAGGTAGCTGAAGTGACAGTCCCAATCCTCGATGTCGAAGTCGCCGAACTTCAGGTGGATCCTCCTCCCATGGGTCACGCGCAGTTCCCATTCACACACCGTGTGGTTGGGGTACGTCTGGGGGTAGTTGATGGAGGACAGCGTGCCGCTACTGGGACCCAGAAGCGTGTCTCCGCAAGCGTCGCCTGTGAACATGCAGGAGCAACCGACTGGTCAATATTCCACTCAGATCTCCCCAGTCAGGTCTTCACAAAGAAAAGCGGTCTCAACGGTACAAGGGGTCCCAATAAGCTTACCCAACACTCACGCACCACCTGAATTAATCTCTACACTTAAAAGAACCACCTTAGCTATCAATCTTGCTACTTAGGTCATTAGTCTTAGAGACAGGTAGAAAAACTTCACACACTTAGCCAGCCCAGGGCAAAGAGCCATCGCTTAGAAGTATGACCATAACCCTAAATGATCAAACTCACGTGTGATTAGCTGGTGCCACATGTGACTGGTGACTCCAAATCTGAACCTACGGTTTATGGGAATAAATAACTCTTTCAGCCCAAACTCTCAGGCATTAATGAGGGTCAGTGGGAAACTTGGGGGGGGGGGGGGGCTACAGATTTTCTTGAA